GTAAGATGAAGGATGAATGTGCTGGGACCCCTATAGCGGAGTATGTGGGATGAAGACCTAAGATGTATTCTATAAAGAAGTTAGATAATGGAGAGATAAGAAAAGCTAAGGGCGTTAAGAAGTATGTTGTAAAAAAGCATATCAAACACGAACAGTATAAAGAATCATTATTCAACGGTAGAACATTCAAACACGAGATGAACTCTTTAAGAAGTTACAATCATAGGATATATGGATTAAGAATGAACAAGACATCATTTTCCCCCTTAGATACAAAGAGATGGATTGATAATGATGGTGTAAATTCCTATGCTTATGGTTATGGTTGTAATACCGTACCGTCGGGAACAATGAACAACTCTTCTCGTACAAATGCCCTACCCGGTCCATCTTGAAGATAATAAAGAATAGGCACTCCTTCTTTCGTAACCAATCGACTAATGTTATACGTCTTAAGGGACCATATGGGATCGGTTGCGCGACGTAGGCCTCCTTCGAGTTCACCGGGCTGGTATAAATATCTTACCCTTACTCTATCCGCAAGTTTTCGTTCTTTGCCTCTCCTCGGTGCTGAAGATTCAGAAGTCACGGATTTCATTTTAATAGCATAGGATGGTTTCTTCCCTATTAATCTCGTTACTTCATTATTCAGCGCTGATACAACGGCTGATAATCGTGTCACCCATTCGGTTGATCTCAATCGTTCCGATTTCATTTCGATCCCATACTGATAGCCAAACAAACGTTCCGCTAATGTCCGGTTAAATCTTTCGACGATAGCTTGACTGCGGTGGGCCTCTCTTTCACCACGGACGATTTCGACATCGTTCTTTGTTAACAGTTTAGTTACCGATCCCATAAACTCGCGACCGGGATCTACTTGAAATAGCTTAGGCCATTTTAGCGGTCCGCGTTTATATATGCGGCTTAGTGCATTAGCTACTTCTGTTGAATCTTTCGAGGTTAATGGCTCAGCCTCTTTGTATCGACTAGCCACATCCACTATCGTTAAAGCGTATTTATACGTTTTGCGTTTTACCTTATCGTGGGGAAGAAACAAGAGGTCAGCCTGATGAACTTCATTCGTTGTAAAAATATCAAACTTCTTCCTCGGTATATAACGCGGTGCCGGTAAATATATCTGCCACATCGCTTGTTTCTTTAACCAATCCTTGGCCACATCTTTAGATACCTTTGTCGCGGTGGCTAATTTTTTTATTGCTCCTACACCTTTCCAATATCCTCGTGGGCTATAGTAAATTTTATCCATTATTAATTAATATTGATGTTTCGTTTAATACAAATCCAGCTCCAGTGGAAGTGGTCCAGAACCATCATTACCTATAAAAATTTATTTCATTGGCCCCAGGTATTGGTGAGCTAGGGCCAATTTAACTTAATCTCATGACTATCGTTAAATCGCATAATCATTTTGGCATAAAAAATCCCCCCTGTAGTAGCAGTATAGGTATATGAATCTGGCTCCAGTGGAAGTGGTCCAGAACCATCATTACCTATACTACTCCATCTGTGTCTGCATTTCTGCCAATCAATCACTTGCAGGTCCCCCTTGACCCTAGTAGTAGTCAGTGCTGTCATTTCCATATCCACCCTACTATCTTCACTCTCAATTCCAAATGCCACTGGCTTGGTCTCAAATGTTTCTTTCTTACCATTCAAGACACTCAGATATTTTCTCTATTGACCCCTGCATCCCTAATTCTGAAGCTACATAAGCATTAATGTATGACCTGGTACTTGCATCATCCAATAATGCGTTAACACGGATCCTATTAGTTCCATTCTTCAGCACTACTGGCACTGTCCAAGTGCTGTGAAGGGATGGTCAAATTCCAATGGCATAGTTGCATGTGCTCTTTCAGAAAAACCCTGGTCTTATCCTCCTTATCCACAACTAAACCATTTTCTGCAAAATCCAGATTGCCTTGTGCAATGTCTATTCTGGGTATGTTCTCATGTAAGAGTCTATTTTGGGTTTTCGTACACCCATTGATCCCACACCGATATGCATATGTACATTGTGTGCCACAATGATTATCACCAAGACAACGAAAGCATACTTTCATTTTCTTAGCAGTGTTCCATCTCTCAGAAATATTCATATTCTTGAACACATTGCATTTCCATAACACATGCTGTTCACCACAAACCTTGCATATGACCTCCCTCTTTGACTTTCTATTCAGCTGACTGACAAATGAGCATGACTCTTTTCTTTTGAACTCAAGTCTTTTGCTTTTATCAGAAACACCATGTGTTGTTTCCACAGCTATCATTTGGTATTTTTAGCTTCCTGAAGTACCCATTCTCTTAGAGTCTCGACAGACTCTTGCCCATCTCTGTCATGAAACCATCTTTGGTATTGTGCAATCATTGACTCAGTAATTTTCTTTTGTAAAGTGGCATACAATAACCCATTACCAAGCTCTTCTATTCTATCTGCTTCTTTCAGATTAACGACTGCAATGTCCAAGACATCAGCAAATCTTTGAACATCTCTAGCATTGCCTTGGCGAATAGGCTTCAAATTTGTCACTTCTTCTAACTGTAACGCTACTTGATGCCTCCTACCACCATACTTCCTTTCTAGGCGCTCTAAAGCAATGTCATAAGCTATAGCACTATGCCCCAAACCTTGTACTGCTTTCAGAGGTTCACCAGAAAGATATTGCCTCAGCTGCAATAACTTGTATTCAGCAGTTGCTGGTGCTTGGTCTATGCATGTCAGAAATGCAGCTTTCTAACTTTCATAGCATTTAATATCACCAGAAAATACTGGGATAGAAACACGTTTGAATTGATTCCATAGCTCAGTGCCTATTGCATAACTGTGTGACTCTGCTTTATAAGGACGTGTGGGTTCATGTGGTATGCTATGAACATCATGCCCAATGTCTTTCTGAATACATGGCTCACTTCCCGCAGCCTGTTATTCAGGACTATACAATCTATTGCGTCTCCTACTTGACACGGAAGTCACATCTGACCTATTATCTAAGTGACATTGTGCTTGTTCAACTACAGCATTAGTTTCATCCTCAAGATGACTAATCTCTCTTTCAGTTTTAGCGACATTTTCACCTTGCTGATTCTTTGCAAAAGCCAGAGTGAGTTGTGTCATAACATCGACAGCTTTCACCTGACTTTCATTTACTTTATCTATACCATCTTGTATGTCTATTCGAGATGGTTGGTCAGGAGATTCGAGTAAACTGTACAACTTGTTTTTTGCTTATGTGAAGGTTGACTTAACATTTGCTTCTTTGTTGATTAAGTTTCAAAATGTTCTCCAGTTTTAACAGAGACCCTTCTGTTTCTTGGGCCAGAGCCTCATCGCTCTTTACAGAGCCTCCCTCCTGCAGATACGACATAATTAATTTGACTTACCGTTTGGAAACCACGCTCTGCTACCATATGTGAATGAGGCAGTTCTTATTCCCCGTTGAATAAACAAGTAAAAAAGATCATGTCGGACATATAATTAGACAAAAGACAGAAACACAAACCTTCCTTGCAAACCTGAATAAATCCCCCCAAAATGATATGTTTCTGTATATTCAACGAAAGTGAATAATTGACCACTTTCTATTATAAAGTGGTTTTAACTTCTCGATAATGGAAGTTCATTCTAACATTAGAAAAATCAATCTCCTGACTGGAGTTCTGAGGACGTCTTCGTCCCACAACGAATAAATGTCAACTAAAAAATGTTACACTGTTCAACGTGATGGTCTGTCACATACAGAACATGAAACGCAAGAGATTTACAAAAAACGGGTGTGTTTGGGCGAGCACTTTCATATTAATCGAGTATTTTAAGACAAGCTGTACCAAAGCCAACCAAGAACAACTGTTTCCTTCTGTTCACTTTGTTCAAAATAATGGTATGCGTATGAGTAAAAATAATAGATAATATTTTCATTACAATTTAGTTTAGTCTCATTGAATCACATTGTCGTTTTTGTAAAAAAAATTACCTCTGTGGTATAAATCTGGCTCCAGTGGCAGTGAGCTAGAACTGTCATTCCCTATAAAAATTTATATCATAGAAGCATTGATATGGCTCGGGAATGGTTCAGGTGGTTGTGAGCTTGAGCCCTTTTCATTACAATTTAGCTTAGTCTCATGACGATCGTTGGATCGCATCGTGATCTTTGCATAAAACATTTCCTCTGTAGTATAGGTATTGGGGTATAAATATAGCTCCAGTGGAGTTGGGGTAGAATCACCATTGCCTATACTACTGTTTAACAACTATATTACGATGTTGTGTAACAACATATTTTGTTTTTGTATTTGTATGTCAACAGTCTCAACACTATTATAATAAAGTACCTACCGGAGTAACATAGTTTTCAGTAGCCATCAACACATGCCATAATTTCCCAGCAAATTCTTTAGATAGCACTGGTTATGGTTATTTTGACAAGGCAGTATAATATTTTCCAAAGCACGTGTACAGATGTCGTTAAACCATAAACATGCACATTCACCCTATTCCGAGGCAGGAGCATGCACGCTGAAACATTCACTTCCTGAGGCAAGCACATGTGCAGTCAGCCAATTCCGTTTCATTGCCATATTGCCATCAGCAGCTTTTTATCGTACCCACCACCACCCTCATCTCCACCTAGCTGACTCTCTCCTGTCCCATTGAGTCATCCCCACAGGAAGCACTTTTTCCGTTTTGGTTTTACTTGTCAATCACATTAACAAATACAGGTTTCACAGGGTATACATTGTTATATGGTACAATAGTCATTCCTGTTACTCATGTTGTTGCTCTTTTGTGAATCTTATTACTGTTTGTTTCATATCATGCCATATCTGGGTTTCTCATTGTGTTAGGGATTTCATATTAATTATTATTATCCAGGCGGATGCTCTACCACTAGACCCTGGAGGCGGGCTTTATAACCATGGTAACCATAGGGACCATTCTTCTACTGGTGTATGTCACCATGTGTTTTGTCTTTCAGTACTCGTGGGTACTCCGGGATGAACTATGACCGACAGGTGGAAAACACAAACACTTCAACATTCCACAAGATGAAGGAAACCTACTGGACCACAAAGCAGGCAGTTATACAGAAACTTGGCAAGAAGGAAGATGAGCATGTCGTGGCCTCAGATCATGAGCTGGATTCAAAATTAGATGTGAGTAAACAGATCATAATCAGGCTCATGTGGTTGTTTCTTAAACATTTGATGTTAACATGACATTGTTTAAGTATTGGAGAAAACACGCTCACGAGGTTTTTGTAGACAGAGCATGCCCTGGGGAGAGGGAAAAACCAAGGGGGCGAAGCCCCCACGGTTTTTCCCGACACCCAGGGCATGCTCTGTCTACCATTACCGAGGGAAAGTGTTTTTCCATGCTTATAAACCGAAAAAAGAAACTTAAAACAACATTTATCAACATTTTTATGTTTCGAACATACTTTCCATGAACCTTAGGAAATGCGCGTAAAATATCTGTTGCTGGCGTACGGATCTTGAAAAGGACATTCTAAAAACCAGTGAGTCTTATCAACACCTCTGTAGCCTCGTGGTACACTCACTGGGCTACAGATATGAAGGTTGCGAGTTTGATTTTACATTTCATTACATGTTACAATCTGAACGGAAGTTATATTAATAAAATACCCAGGACATTATATAAAATCCCTGGGATATTACAAGGTCCCCTGTTAAGGAGATTTAACCCGACTGGAAAGTAAAACCTCACAATAGGTCTTAATGCCTATAGAAAGAAGTCTCTTACTTAATAGCGATCCCAATAAATAGGTTTATAAAAAGTGTACACTACTGCCTAGAAGTTTATTCCCCTAACATGTGCTGAGAACGTGTGTAACATGGGTGCTCAAAAGGTTGCACACGGGTTTAGCACCCGTTGTACACCCACGCCGGTCTGGAACTGAAATCCGGTCCTGTGTTACACGCATGGCACACATGTGCTCAACGGGTTGCACACACGCTGCACACCCGTTGCACATGCGTCTGCCATGCATTTAACACGGGACTGGGTTTCAGTTGAAGTTGGCAAATATATCAAATGAATAGTGAGATAAAACAAAACAGTGAGATGTGGATCTTGAGTTTATGACCGGCCATTGGCCTGTGTTCACCAGACCATAATATGCACAAGGTTGGCCCGTCGTAATTTTATGGCATGAGCCATTCCACGGGGGCCCATTGTAGCCATTGTGGCTACCCAAAGTAGAACAGAAGTGAATTTAGGGGAACTAGGGGAACCCCCCGAGTTGACACGATTATCGCTGGTTGGTAAATATTCACGATTAAAGAAGTGACTGTTTGTAGATTGCAGACATATTCGTTTTAAGTTTGGGGTACATGAGTCATTCCAGGTGATTGCAAATATAACGTTTTTCTTCGCCAAATTTATGTTTAGATAATACAATCATGATAGAGCAGTCACCACTACTTATGTCTTATTATTTCATGTTGGAATATGTCCCTATTCCCCCCACCCCACTTTCTGTTTGGCAATTTGTTGGAATTATTTAGAGGAAGTTTTGTGTGGGACTCTCTAATTCTAAGAGGATATTGGAAATGAATATGAACAGCCATGTTGTCTGACTGTTCATAGAATGTAGACATAATCACGTTAGGGTTAGTGATTTTTACATTTGCCCAATGACCATAAGGAGTATTGCAGGGGATACCAATGGTAACAGTTTGTTATAAGAGGAAATTGGTTGTGAGTACTTATGCCATGTAGATAGGATGTCTTTTAGGATTTTAATCCTTTATTTCCCTGTTGGTAATCCTTTCACGTTGATAGAAGGAAGTCACTCAACCAGGTAATGACAACGGTTATGCGCAAGGCTCGGGATAGGGAAAAGATCACTAGAGGTGTTGATGGAGGATGGACATGCAGCATACACCTTTTCCAGTTTATGCGGGCACCTTGTCTTTGTTTCACTTGTTATTTAAAACCTTGATATACAAGGCTATGACCACCATGCCATTCACAGGTGCATGTGTCTATTTACAGTGAAGTTGTTTGGCATTCCCAGTATTTATATACCATCGCACCGATTACTTGTTAACTGGTCACTGCAAGTGCCTTAATTATCTAAATTTCAGTGAATAGAGTTTATTCACATGTTAGCTTTCAGAGGTTGTGAGGGAGCACAGGTCGCCCAGTTGTCTAAGGCGCCACGATTTGCTGTGTAGAGTTACGTCCAATGGGCATGCCAGAAACCTATGATTGTGGGTTCAAGGTTTGTCAGCACCATACCCGTGCTTGTGTGTTTCACCGAAGTGGTAAACGTCCGAGACCTCCATCACTTTGGGCTTTCCTCCCACATCAAGCTGACACACCGTTATATAACTGGAATACTGTTAAAGGCGGCGTTAAACCCAACTCACTCACTCACTCATAGGTTGTGATGGATACTTGTAAAATCCCCCGTTGAGTTAACTCACAAACTACTGTGAGCGTTTTTGCCAAGACTTCTGTGCTTGTATAAACACTGTAACTGCTAAAAGCGGCGTAAAACCATACTGACTCACTCCACTCATAGTAACTGTTAATCCTCTGCTGTTTGCTGGCAAAGTAGGGATAAACCTCTGTGTCACAGACGAGCAAACTCAGTGAGAATCCTTTTTTATCTGTGACATCTTCTAAGCGAGATTTTAGTATCCCCCGCCCAACAAAGTTGGCGGGGGATATAGAAACGGGCTCCGTCCTTCCGTACTTCCGGAGCACAACTCATAAACCGTTCAATATTTTTTTATGAAACTTTGCAGGTCTGTCAGGTACATGCTCAACTGGTGCCTTTTACTGTTTAAACATTTTGGAAATTTATATTTTTCCATGGCAAAAGGTTGAACTTTTAGAAATTTATGAATTCTTCTTTTAAATGCCAAAAAATTCAACTTGACACCCATTTAGTCTGTTCAAGGAATCTTTTAAGTCATAATAAAGTTTTTTTGTGTGCCTACATTTTGTGTTTGTCATCATTTGGAGGTATCTCCAATAGTAGGGGAAACTGTGCACGCCTTCTGCCAAGTTGTCAGTATGTGCCTCAATAAATGACAATAATGGTTGAGGGTAACTTTCGTGACTTCATTATCAAATCCATCATCCCTACTTCTGCATTGATTATGACAGAGATGAGTGTGCAATAAGATGGCATACTTCTCTTTGAAACTTTTTACAGTTTTCAGCACATGTTGATATGAAGACTTTTGTGCTGTAGAGTTTTAAAATTCACATTTATAATATTGTCTTGTTTGTTTTTTCACCTTATCATATCACATGGTATGACCATATTGTTAAAAAGCCACAACTTCCTTGCAGGGAGTGCCAGTAACATGACTTGTAATGTTTTCTCTCTCCCACCCTAATGAATTCAGTAGTAAGTGTAGTAACTGATTTGTCAGTTTGTACTTCCATCATGTTTTTGTGGAGAAGGTTTCATTTTTTTCTTGAAGTTCATAGAAATTGTGATTTGCAGCATTTTATTTTGTTTCTTCAGGATATTTTGCATTTACATCAAGTAGATGTTCCCCTGCTGCCTTTTGCTCCTTACAAAATTTTGAATATTTTCAAATGTATGTGTTTGTGTGATCAAATTTCACTATTGTTGACATAATATACACTTCATTTGCTGGGCAGGAGACTTGGCCACATTAGTGGCAAACTCTTCTTTTTGTAACAATTTCCATGACAACAAGTTCCATCTCGGTTAAAAAAGGTTAGGGTTTGTTTAGATTTAATTATGTCATAAATTCTGCAACAGGGGTGGGGTTTAACTGTTGTTAAACTTGACAAGTGATGATGAATTTTAATATTCATATTATTATAGTTTATCAAATTGTCTGTGAGTAAGTTTAAATGTCACGTCACACCAGTATTTTTTCAGCCATACTGCGACGAAATAATTGCCAGCTTTTTGGACTACCGGTACATGTAACATGGCTGCTTTTATTTTTCTTATACAGGTGCTTGACTGCTCAGTAGATCAATTCGATTTTTTTATTGTGTAAACAAATCAGTCAAGTTTACAACAATAGATGAAGAAGTTGATAAATTTGGACTGCAGTTACCGATTAACAACTTAAGACAGAGACAGGGAGTCGATATATAACCAAAGTTATGGTCCTGGTGAGACGATTGACAGTTAGAATGTAGCAGTAAATGACAGTAACTAATTTGAACATTCCCCAGTATTAATATAAAATACATCATTACCCATAACGGTCTGAGAGACAGCTTCCAGTTATTTTGTAGGGTCAGTCGCTTTTGATATATTTAAGAATAAACTCACTTTAAGGCACATGACAAGTCCAAACTGGCCGCCCTGATTATGTTCCTAGGTTTGACAGCAACTACCCTTGTGGATTTCAGAGATAGATATGATTTGTTAAATTGATGTTATTACAATAAACGAAAATGTCTTCAAAGTCAGAGTTTGTTTAATAGTACAAAAATAAGTGTGTTAAAAATCTATCATATTTGTTTGTGATCTTCATATGCCACGGTCTGTGGCCAGAAAAGCAAATAAAGTTATGTCTTATGAACTCCATTATCCCTGCTGACACTATCATAATGTTCAATTTCACACCAAACGTAAATAAGCGTTATACATGTGTTGATAAACCACACTGACGTATATATATTTTTGTAGATATGAAACATTCTAGTTAATTGTGGATACAATCTGCTACACATACATAACATAACCCCATGCTGGATGAATTGGTGCCTTGATATGCAACAAGAAAGAATCTTGTTTGTTTCAAGGCCATCTTGATCATCGTTTACTTCTACTACATGCATGGTTGGAGGCAAGATCAAAGGCGCCGCCCAGCATTTATTAGACAACAGACAGGGTTGTCTGTTTCGCTTTAACCCTCTGGATGCCGATTTTATTTTTCTGACGCACATTTTCCTAAGATCGGAAAAATGAAGGTTGAGCAATAATTGCGTTCACGTGGCACTGGATCTACCTCTTGCTATAAAATTATGCAGAGGTAGAGAATATTAAATTTCCTATTTGATGGTGTAAATTTAACTGCAAATATTAAACCGGTTTAAAAAAAAGACACTTCTAAGTGTTGTCCGAGAATATATTCTGCGTTGAAAACATAACTCTACTATGCTCAGCACTAGTTTATTTTAACTC